GCAACTCCAGTACAAAGTATGAAATTTTATTTATTTATTATTTTTGATGTTTTGTCAAATGTTCATAATCATTAATTGGAGTTATCAAAAATAGTTTTTTTACCTTTTCCATGTACATCAAATTCATTGTTATCACTAGGGAACATAATGGGTTGGGTTGGTTCATATTATAGTGGAACAAGGGTTAACCTAACCTTAAATGTACTGGGTTAATACTCCATGGGTTACTCCGGAGCAAAATTATAATAAAATATTTTGCTCCGGGTTAGTACAAAAAATTAGAAATCTTAACCCACTCCATGATGGAGTGATCCATAACCCGGGTTGATGCCAGAACATTATGCTCCATTTAACAACCCTAGTTATCACTTACCATTCACTGTCTTTGTTCATGATTATTGTTTGTACTGATAGTTTTTTCATATTTGCTGCATACTGTGTAATCCAATTTGCAACTGTTGGCACTTCAGGGATATCCTCAACTTGAATTTCACCTTCATCAGCTAAAATTTGAAGTTGGCTTATCATTTCCTTTGCTGTCATTGGATCAGTTATATTAATGTTACCTGCTAAGAAATATCCTTCAAGGTAAAATTTCACTTTCTTTTTCATATGCTTTCCTTTTCCTCTTATTCCATATTTTGTTTGCTTTTTAATGCCCATCCCTTTTTTAATTCAAATGATTCTTCAATATCTATATTAAAAACCATAGAAACAAAAATTTAAATAATCAATAGCAATAATAGCAATATAATTTTTTTTGGATATACCTAATGACTGAGTATTATTATTTGATTTATTTGATTCATCTTCTTTTATTTGTCTGGCTTATGTATGTATATAAATTGCAAATTAATAATATAAATATAATGTAATTCATATTTTCATTATATATATCTATTTATTTTTACCTTGAGCATGAGACAATGAAACATTCCATGAATTGTCAGGTACTGAATGAGAAGAAACCAAAGGTGTTGGCTTGTTTATAGTGGTTGTATTTTTTAATATCTCTGATGGTGAAAATTGTAAACATTCTCCAATATGTGGCAGACATTGAGCTTGTATATATCTAGAATAATCACCTGTTACTGGCCATTCAAAGTAAAATAAATTAGTAATACCATCAATGGTTTTTACCTTATTGTCCTCATGTGCTGGTTCTATGTGTGCAACAAAAGTTCCATTTAAACAAGATATTGCTGTTCCTATTTTTTCCCCTTCATCCAAATTATTTCCAACATGTATATATCTCTTGATGGCATGAGAGATCTATACAGGAAAATTTCCTGATTAATAAATATAAAAACATTTTGTATGTAATAGAATTTTTATAAAAATTTACCTGTGCATGATGGGAATCAACAGTTGATTTTGCCTCCCCAGGTTCAAAAAAATACCAACCACGAACTTCAATATTATACCATTGGTGCCAGTTGGAAATTATGGTTGTTAATTCTGAGTTATGGTAATGAGCACCATTGTCTGAAAATACTTCAATCCATTGTGGATGTGGATCTAAAGTTTCAAAAACAGCATCAAAAGAAGAAATTGTAAACCAAGCATCTTGCTTGGTATCAGTACTCCAATGGTCAAATGCTTGAACATTGATCTGGTTAGTATCAGATTTTGTGAAAACCAAAATTGTGTGTAATGTCCAACCATGTTTCCCAAAAAATTGTTCTTTGGTTTCTCTTGCACTTTTTGGTAAAATGCACATTTTATAATCACAAATTGTGATTGCCCCATTATTATTCAAATTTGCTAACCTAGATTTAAATTGACTATTTAAATATACCTTTCTTGCTTGATGAGCCAAAAAATAGTACAATTTGTCACGGCATTCTTCAATTGTTGATTTCTGTTCTTTAAACTTCTGATAAAATTTTGTATAACTATAAATAATTTATCACATGTAATACAACGTTCATTGTGCTGCTCATCACATTCACCAAATGCATAAAGCAAGCAATGATTTATTGTATCAACATGTGTTGTTGTACCATCAGCATTCATAGAAAGCTCTTCTTCAAAACCTCTTCTCAGATGAATTTTCAGTTTTTCTATATCTGTAATTAATTTATTCTAAAAACAGAATGTTTAAATTTATTATTTTTTATTATTTATAATATTTATAATTTAGTAAATGAAGATATAAATTACCTTTTCTTCATTATCCACAGCATTTAATTGAATAATGCTAGTAAGTGTATTGAATACTTCATAGAAATATTCATTGCAAATACTACATAAACCCTCAAGATCATTTCTGTAAACATATGGACCATTTGTTAAGCAGGCCATGAATGATGTATGTTTTATTCCACCAGGATAAGTAACCTCAAATTTTTTCCATAGTCCTTCCTTGTCATCATTCAAATAAAGGATCGGAAGGTTTGTCTTGGAATCAATTTTATATGAGCTCATAGTGACATTGTCTTTATCTAAGAAAAAATTTTCAAATTCCTGATTTTTTATTTCTGAAATTCTATTTTGAGTAATTGTAGGTTTTCTTGCAGCAATACATCCAGGTCCATTAATTCACAAATACATTTTTGCTGCATTTATTAAATTATTTGAAATCTACATAGAAAAAATTTTCATGAAAATTTGATCATTGTGTAAAATGAATTTTTAAATAAAAATTACCTTCAAATTATCTTGTAATTTATGATATGTAAAATGGTCAGCAATTACTGATAATATTCTTTGTTTATTATCCAATCCACAATTGTTCATTTGAATTGAAATATTAAAACAATTCCAAAATTTATCAACTTTATTTTGGAGTTTGTGGTTCTTTTCAGATAATTCCACAATTGGTTTATTGTATGTAACACCACTTAGAAGGTTATTTTTATATAAATAAAGCATCAAGCATGATAATTTGATGCATCCTCTACATATGTCCAGAATTCAAGCTATTGTTTTGATTGTTAATAGAAAGTTAATAGTTATCAATTATATATGATAACAAAAAATTATTTGGCATAATTAAAATTCTTACATTTCAGTCAGGATTTTTTCCAAATTTGGAATTACCAAATATTGCATCCTAAATAGTAAATCAATATCCTAAATAGTAAATTTGCACTACGTAAAAATTCGATTGGCTGAAATTCCGCCTTTTTCTCTTTTTCTTTTCTCAAAACCTCACCAGATAGATTGATAAGAATTATTATGATTATTTTATTTATTTTATCAATCTTTTATTATTATTTATATTTTATTTATATTATATCAATCTATGTAATTTTATTATATAAAGGACATCATTTTTAAGATAATAAAGATAACTTGTATTTTTACAATAATTAAAGTACCTGTTTGACGAACATGTTATAATATTGTTTTTATTCTCGTTAAGAAAAGTAATTCTTACAGTAAGTTTACAGTGGGCCCGTAATATTATGCAAATAAGCATACAAAAATTATGCAATTATTACATTGAGTGTAAATATTACATAATTTTTATGCAAATATTACAACTTTACATATTAAAATTTATGGACGTAATATTGTGACAGGGAAAATTTCCTGATGACTATGCAAAAAGTTCTTTATTTTTTTAAATGTTTGCAGTTGCATATATGAGGTAATGAAATGAATTGGCATTCTTTCATCCTTATTCCAAAAATCTTTAAAAGATGAAGTTTTGTATATCCCGAATAAATAATAATTCCTAGCCAAGTCAAAAATTCATAAAAATCAATATCCATCCAAGTATCTTCTTTTTTTTTGATTTCCATATTTATTAGTATTATTTACAATTGTTCTTAAAATTTCATTCAAAAAAAATAATTTAAAAATATCATAAGGTGTGATGGAATCAAGAATACTGTATTCATATGGCAAATTTAAATGAGACTCATTGTATAAAGGATATTGATGAGCAAACTTATTAAATGATGGTGAACTTGGAAGATTAATTGGTTGTGATTGTGTATTTCTATTTCTCCCACCACCTCTTCTATCACTTCTAGCTCTACTTGGAAAACCCATCACAAACATCTTCAGATAGGCGGAAGAAAATAACAGATGAATTAAATCTAACCATAAATAAAGGAAATTTACCAATGTGTGAAAATGAAATCATTCTTCAATATGCATATCCAAGGCTTGATAAGGCAGTATCAATAAACATTAACCATTTATTGAAAAGTCCATTTTGTGTACATCCTAAAACAGGCAAGATAATTTATCATTATCACCATTCTGATACAGTTGAAGAAATTTCACTTTTTGACATGTCCCGCATTAAAAATAATATTAAGAAAATTAATCATAAACATTCAATTTTTTAACCTCACAATATTATATAACTGTTTATTTGCACATCTCTTATTTATAATAATATATTATTAATCATGCGTTATTGCATGCATAAGATTTTATTTTGTCAACAGTGATAGATGTGATATCATTGTTATAACAAATCATTTAAACTCTTATTTTCGTGATTGTTAAATGATATTTCCTTTATATTATGGAATTTATAAAATTAGATCTTTTTTATTATGGATGCGTTATAATATTTTTATTTTTTTGCTATATATAATGATGTGGTATAAATAAAAATAAATACATGTATACTGTTGGTGACGAAATCACCCAGCACAATAGTCCTTTTTAAAAGAAATTACATATGGAGCCTACTCTTTAATTAAATTTCTTATGATTATTAATATTAATTGCTAAAACGTATGTCATCCTTCGGTAATGGCGTGACGAAAATCTGGATAATTTTGGCGTGTAACCGATACAGATTTCTATAAATTTAGTAGAAAATTCTCCACATTGAATTTTTTTTCTTTTTAATACACTTCACCCATATCAATGATTATCACATACCCCCTTTCAAATTTATACTTGCTGCCCATACTATAGAAAAACATTATTTATAAAATGGTGATTACAATAACAACAACTTTACTGATGATGAATTGCGAGTTTACTATCATCGGTTGTCCCATGCAATGAAATTTTTTGTTGGTTAAATTATGACAGAGGTATCAATTTTTTTATAAATAATGGTTTATGATTAATAATAATAATAATAATTTTTTTTGATATTAGCTCAGATGTGTATTCAAGAAAGATTTAATTCGTATAATAGTAATAGCAGTATCGGAATTTTTGTATTTTTCTGAAACTAATCCGAAATCTGAAACTAACCCGAATCCCACAAACAACAAATGATTTTACCAATGCCCGATTTATATCATTAATACATTGAGGTGTTAGTTTGGTACTTTCAATATAATTGATTGAGTTAATTGATTGCTAAAAAAAAATCGCGAACTTCTACTGGTACTTTTACACATAAATTACCTAAGTGTTTTCAAGAGCAGCAGGTGAATCTTTATACCAAAACGCCCCACAAAAATTACATGTAGCATTCCAATGCCCTTTTGAAATTTCTCTCCCTTGTTTGATGTACCTGCCCCATACAATTGACTTTGGTTTTCCACTAATTTTTTTGGGAGGATACAGTCAATGTATCATCATTTGAAACAACAATAGGAGACTCATTACTAATGAAAGAAAAATTTTCTTCTGTAACTAAAGATGAATGGTCATTTATTATTGTTTCGTTTTCTTCCATTTTAAATATTTATTAATGAAAAATTACTATTGGTCAGAAATTGATCATATGATTTCGGATAATTTCGCCCCAGTTTCGGATTCGGGTTGGGCGAAAGGGTTAGGTTTCGCCCGAAACACTAGTAGTATCACAACCAATATCAATCAATCATTAGACCAGTAAATCTATTACAACTATAAAGTGACATCATGCATTACTTACTATATAAAGACTGGAACATTAAATGATCCAAAAAAAATATGTGTAATTTTTCTAAACATTCTCTGTTTCAACTATCAGGATTTGACAACAATACTGGGCATTCATTACGAGATCACTTGACCTTTAATTCTTTCAAAAGCAAATGGCGCTTTTTTTGATAGGAGGAAAATTTAATATATGTATTTGCACACACACACACACACATATATATGTTTATTTATTGATTTATTAAAACTAACCATACCATAATATTTCTAATTGATCCTAGAGGATTCCCCCAAAATTTTATTAATAGAGATCCTTTGCCACAGGACCCGCAAATTTCATGGACAGGTTACTGCCGTAGCTGAGTCAAATTCATATATTAATGTTAATATGACAATTTGTCGCGCCAATCATTGGGTGAAATTTTTATTTTATTAATATTACTTTATTGTCATTAAGCAACTTCGGGATATATACAATATTAAAAATGGGTTTGTTTTGTAAGAATAAACATCACCACAAATACAATATCATTGAAATTTTATTCACACTAAGAACATCATTATTTTTACGCTCAACTATTTCCTTAAACTGCGGTGTTCCTAATGTAACTCTCAACCTATTAATGATCTCTACCGTCTCTACAGGAACATTAGTATATATTTTCATTCTTTTTGTTAATATTATCATGAAGCTTTTGTACTTCATACTCGTATTTTTCCTGGGATTTGCAATAAATGTCACTGATTAGTTATAAGAATAATCGTCAGAAAAGAAAATCAAAAGCATTAATTTAAGCGTACAGTGAATGTGAACAAATTATCAATGACATTAATGAATTTGTCCACAGGTTTGAAAGGACCTGGGAAGTTCTGTCTCGCCAATATCGAACATAATATAGAGTTCTGAAGCGGTCAAAATCATGATATAGCCTGTCCACATTGTCACTACCAATGTCATATACACGTTAGTATACAGACAATATGATAATTATGTGGAACACTCACTAATTGTTTGCCACGCAAAAGTCATATGATCTTTTCCTGTCTTCTTTAATGAGAAGATCAAGAGCATCCTTCATAAAAATGCCTAGTCCGATAAGATCCAAGTTGTTTTTCTTTACGTTATTGTTTTTTCTTTTCTGTAACCTCGCCAAACATTATTTCATATTTAGATTTGTTGTTATTTACAACATTACTGACCATGTCCAGTTACTTTGCATGTGAAGGATCTAGGTTAGCAAGTTTACAAACTTTAGCACTCATACTGCTAGGTTTGACCATATGGCTGGATGTATTGAAGCATCATGAAAGAATGTACGTAATATTGGACTAATGATGTTGACAGTCAAAGTGCCCTCATTGAGAAGGTCTTTCAGTGGCTTAACAGGAATATTTTTCGTTCTGTGGGATAGATAAAAAGTGTTATAAACCAGTTGGGCAGTAGGAGATAAAAAACATTACAATTTCTTATTCGAATTATCATTATTATTCATTTTATTAGTTTTATTCGGATTATACTGTATCTTTTTATTCAAATTATTCGTTAGAATTATATCTTTTATTATTTGTTTTATTTGTTTTTATCTATTTGTTTTATTCATTTTATTCGAATTGTTCGTTTTTATTCATTTTATTCGTTTTATTCTTTTTGGAAAATATAAAATATTAATTCACAACTTGATGCAACAAATTTTATATTTTATTCAAATCGTTTTATTCGAATAAACTTTCAATGTAATTTGAATAAAACTTATTTGAATAGAACCATACTACTACTAATTATTATTTACAATATTTCTCGATATTTTTGATCACACATTTCACTCCCTGATTGTGATGATAATGACTAAATTTGATCCCTGAAATTTTTGGGTAATACTAATTCACTGTTGCAGCATGCCTCATATTCAAATGTGAGACAAATAAATTTTCTTCAAATTGTAAAATGTCAGACACCACTGATCAAACCAATCTTATAAATCACAACGACAATCAAACTGCTACTTCTGCTTCTCCTTCAAATGATCATAATGATAATAGTCAAGGTTTAACAGTTCCGTAAGAACATAATAACTATTACTATTTTTTTTTATTTCACTTCATTCATGTTTATGTTTTCAAAAAGTTAACCTTTCTTTTATCAAAAAATGATGAAAAGAACTTCAAACACACAATATAAATTATCTCGATCAGAAGTCGTTCATGGCATAGCAAATCGAATCATATATTCTAGATTTTATACTTGGTTATATTTGGGAATGGCCATTCTTAGTTTTACTTCAATTGTCCTAGTAAATATAATTTTTTAGTTTTTTGATTAATTAATTATTTTGAATTTTTACTATTACTATTTCTAATAACAATAATAACAACAACAATAATAATTTTAAAGTCTTTTGTAGAAGAATGGTAAGTTTTCCATGTCACCTATGATATAAATATTATTGATAATATATATTAATGATATAAATTTTTTGATTTTTAACAGTCAAACGGTAGCATTTATTACATTAGAAGTTATAATTAACACAGTGATGATACTGGAAGTAATAACACGCCTTTTAGCGTTTAGAAAGGTTTTGCAAATTCTATTTATTAAATTAAATTTTTTTTTAAAAAAAAAAAATAATTAAATTCTTTTTTTTGAAAAATAGTTATTTTGGAAGTCCATGTATAATATAATAGATATAATTCTTGTATTATTGTGTATTATTACATTGATATTAATATTAGATGGTGGATGTTCTCATAAATCAGAGGAAGTCTTTGATCTAATTTTATTAATTGCAAGAAATTTAATTCAATTTACCAGATTATATTTATTATTAAGGAAGTAAGTTGTTTATTACTATGATGATAATAATAATAATATAAATAATTTATGATATTTATTAATCAAATTAATCAAATTTTTCATTAGAAATAAGAAGACTATAAAAGCTCGAAGTACAACAGTGGATTTCAATAATGTTGGAGATCCAAGTTTTTCTATAGATATTGATGCATTTGATCGCGAATTTTTAAATGAAGAATTTGAAGATGACATCCTATAATAATAATAATAAAAATTATTCTCAATATATAATAAATTTTTTTTAATAATTTTGTATTTCTAATAATAAATTTTCGTTTTATTCAGGATAAATAAAATATAATAAATAAAGTAAATATTGAATTATTTATTGATTAATTTTATCAATTCCAATTCATACAACTCCATAACGACTCTTTTAATTTGTTATAATCCAAATTTTTACCAATCATCACCAATTTATCTTGGATCTCGTCATTATTAGCATTTATAGCAATACTTTCTAAATAATATAGATCTTGAACTCCTTGTATTACAATATATGACGAATCATTTGTTATTCTAATAATTCCTTTAAGTCTTAGAATTATAACCCTACTATCTTCTTCTTCATCAGAAGATTTATTATTGTTACTTGAGATTTTTTTAACATCATCACTATTGTCAGAATTAGTTGCTGGTGACAATTTAAATAACGCTGGAGATGGAATAACTTTATTCCATAATAAATATTGAATCCAATTCTCTAATTCTTTAATATTTGAATTTTTTGGAAAACCTGTTAAACATATGGTTTTGACATCTCCTATATGTTGTTGAGAATTATTATCAGAAAGAATATTTTTTTTATCAATATTTAAATTATTAACTGTTATTTTATCAGTTGTTGAATCATCTAATCTTGGATATTCTTTTGTATCAAATGCATGTATATCTAAAATTAAATCCAACGGAACCCTTATTTATATAGAGAAGATGAAAAATAATAAATATTTGAAAAAATATTGTTGTTATTTGTTATTATTGTTATTATTGTTATTATGATATTATTTACCTTGAATTTTTTGTTTTAAAAATCTTTGCCATTGAATTTATTAATCTAATTTTATATTTAAAATTATTAATATAATACACATATACATATACATACACACATATATATAAATTTAAAAAACCTTATTTCTTCTTCAATATTTTCAATTTCTTCAAAAGCAACCAAATCAATTTTATTAAGTATTATCACATCTGCTATTGCTATTTGTCTTTTATCAATGAATATAGTTTTAATATTAGTACTAATGTCTGGTATATGATGCATGTGCACACACTTATATATACTAAAACTTACTTTACTGCTTCATTTATTGAATTATCATCATTCTTCTTGTCAGAAATATACTATTTATAATCATAATAATTAATAACAACCAGTGATTTTTTAATTAGAAAATGTTTCTTACTTGTTTTATATATTTAGCATCCACTAATGTAATAAATCCATCTAAATAAATATCGCTAAATAAATCATCATCTAACCAAAACATTGAAACTATTGGTCCTATTTAGAGGAAAAGAAAGAAACATAGATGATAAA